ATCCTTCGTCTTCTTCTTCTCTTCCTCCTTTATGACTTCTTCTTCTTCATCCATTCTCTTTCTTCTACGTTCTTCTTTTCCGTTTTTTTCATCTTCTCTATTGGTCTTCTTCGTCATCACTTCTCTTTCTTCTCATTCGTTTTTCTTTTCCATCCCTTTTTATTATCCTTTATTTTCCTTCTTCTTCTTTATCACTTATTCTCCTTCTTCTCATGTTCTTCTATTTTTTTTTTCTCTTTCTTCTTCTCTGTTGTTATTCTTTTTCATCTACTCTTTTTCTCATCCATCCCTTCTCTTTATTCTCCTCCTTCTTCTTCTCCTTCTTATTTGTTCTTTTTCTTCTTTGTCAAACAAAAATGATAAATTTAAAACTAAAAAGATTAAAAATACATATGCATAGTAAACAAACTGAAACAAAATATTTAACATATAAAAAATTAATTTTGACTAAAAAATATTGATGTTTGCAAAGATATTTTTTTAAAAAAAATCTAAATAGGGAAAAAAATAACCAAAACAAATTAGAGAAAATGAGATAATGTGAGTTACTGTTTTTATTTCTCTTATAGTTTATTGAAATACTATTATTATAAATATTTTTATTATGTTAATTGTAAATTATGAAAATCTTTTATTAATTTACTGAATTTTTCTATTATTAATATGTTATTACATCTATAATAAAAAAATTATCAATATTGTTTGTAATATTTTTGAAAATATGCTAAAATCCATATTTTCTAGAATATGCTTTAAATTTATGCAGTTACTGTTTCTTAATTAAAAAATATTTTGATTTTTATTTGGGAAGCTTGCTCCATAATTTTAGTAATCAAATATTAATAAAATATTACATAATCGATTCATTAGATATTTTATAGAACTAAATATAATTTAAATAAAATTATATGGTTATTATAATTTACGGTTAATTAATCATAGTTTTTTTAAATTTGATCATGATGCTTTTAAATTTGAAATTAATTTAATCAAAATTTAATTTAATATTAGATTGCACTAAATATATAACAAATAATATATAATTATTCATAAAAATTAGGTTTTAGTTTATTTTCTTATAAACATATATGTTTGGTTATATTATTGCATAATAATAAAAAATATGATTTTTGTTTTTCAGATAAATGTTTTGCGATTTTCTTTTATATTGTGTAAATGTATATAATTTAATTATATTAATTATCATTTTTATTTTCTTATATTGTTACATATAATAAATATTTGAAAATTATTATTTGTTATTTTTTTGCAAAATGTTTTAAATTGTATACTTGTTTATAATTTAATATTATACATATATATTAATTATAATTATAATTTCATTTTTTATAAACTTGGATATAATTAATTCTAAAATTAATATTTATAGAAATATTTAAATTATTTAAATGTGTTTAGTAATTAGAGTTAAACTAATCCAAATAGTATTTGAAATTAATGTGTTTGGTAATAGGAATATAAGAATTAAATAAAGAAAAAATAAAATGAATATTAATTAGTTATATTAACAAATGACTAAACTACCATTAATGAAATTCTAAGGAAAAGGTTAAAATGCAATGACATTTCATGTAATATAATACATGATTTATGTTTAAACATTGAAATGATCCTTTTTTAATAGTGTAGATGGTTTGTGTTTATTACTTTCAATAGCAGGTTGAAGTGCGATCTATTGCACATTTTAATGACGATGTTTAAGATGAAAAAAAAAAATTCTTTACTTTTTATTCCTAACGTCAGCATGTATATTTCAATCCAGTTCAAACGAAAGGCTTTTCTGTATATATTGCACAAGACGTAGACAATATAATATCACCCATTTTGGTATAGTTACTTTTAATTTCAGTCATTCACATAATTATATCAGCCAATTTTTCATACTTTTTTTTTTTACATGTGAGGTAGTATTTTTTCCGAACATGTTGATTTAGAGAAACCATCATATATTTTTTTTTCGACTAAAAACCCAAAGACAAGAATATAGAGAAACTTCACAAAAAATGTTTTTGATTGAAACCATCATATGTATATTCAATCATAACAATCATATATTTAAAAACAATCACAATAACAATCCCATAGACAACAATTTTCAACTACTAGAAACAAACTCTTAATACAAAGTTCAAAAAAAAAAAAAAAAAAAAAAAACAAACTCTTAATACATTGATGATACTTCAATATCAGTAGTTAATTAAACAACGTAAAGAACAATATATAGACTCACGTCCGTACATTGTTCTCTTAAATATAAAGGGTTCTGTGGAACGACGATCACATCTTTTGCAGATTTCTCGAGTATTGCTGTTTGTGCGAAGAACTAAAGTCTTATCTCCCTTCAACAGAAAGGACATGGGCTTCATGAATCTTTCTTTCCCCAACAAACAACTGATATGAACTGTGACATTACAATAGTAGTCGCATTTATAAAACCACTCCTTTGCATCTAACTTCGCTTCACATATTTCACACCAGTAGTATTGACCACTTGTCGTAACTTCTTCCCCATAGCAAAGAGTAAGTGGATGCTTATCGTGCTTGTAATGTATAACACTTGGCAAAGTAGCACACTTAAGACCCAAGAATGAATTTCTCTCAATACACTCTAGTGAAAAAGGTGAACACTTACTAGATTTACACCCCATGCATTCACCTTGGCTAAGATTGAAGAAGAGTTCATGAGGATGGCTTCCATGGATAACAGGATCTGGAAGAGAAGCGCACCTGATGTCTAACTGGAACTTGCAGTCTTTTTTGCTACATATGTACACGAAACCATAACCTGTTTGGTCACAACCATTGCATTTGAACATGCCTTGAATATAACATTCATCTCCAGGCCAGTATACCTTCGGGGAGATCTCTAATTTTTCAGGAGCTATTGGGTGGAGGATAAGAGGGTGTTTGTGTAGAGGATGATCTTTTCTGCGAGGAAGGTATGCACACGCTTCGTGGAGGAGGAAATCGCAATGCATACAACTATAAAAGCTCTCAGATGTCATTACTGGAAGAACGCATGCTTGACAAAACATGTTTTCATCAAACACGTCGTTTTTGCGTTGGAGTCTTAGGTGATGCTCATGACTGAAATGTTGTATCGTCTCGTCATCGATCCTCACAAAGGACTCGATATCTTCCTCAGGCTCTTCAGGCACTCCGTCAAGATCTTCTCCGTCCCACACACTTCCTTTCACCGCACATTTTGAATGGACGGCGTAGTCACATCCCTTGATGCAAGAAAACTGCCCGCACGTGACGTTGACGGTGTGACGACACACTCCACAACGGAGTAAACCGGAAGGGAGGGAGGAAGATAGAGATAGGCGGTGTTGGTGACGAGTGATCTTGATAACACGTGGTAAGTAGATACATGTCCTATGAACCATGTAGTCACAAGGGTGACAAGTGTAAACGTGGTCTTGAGTGTTGTTGAGAGACATTCCACAAGCATCACATGGCAAAGGGATTCTTCTTGGGAAAATAGTGAGGCTATGTTGATGGCTCTTCAGGTTTAATAAGGTGAGAGGTGGTGGTTTTCTAGTACAAGTGAGGTTTAAGCTGAAGTCGCATATAGAACAATGATAATACACCAATTTGAGATGCTTCTGACAACATTTGCATTTGACCTCGGATATAGATGTACCATCGGATTCATCGACTTCCTTTTCGGATTCAGAGGTCTCTCGAAGCCATTTCGAAGGTAGCGTTATAGACATGTGAAGATCAGAATAAGAAAAACCTGGAGGGGTGATGAATTTGAGAGGGTGGTGAGGGTGAAAAGGATGTGTGATCTCCTCCAAGTACAGGTGACAATCTATGTGGAAATCCACATTGCAAGTATCACAGTGGTAGTGGTGTGTACGACGTTCGTGACGTCCTTGACAAAGCTGTTGACATCCAGAGCAAAAAAGGAAATCACCATGTACCTTTCGAAGTGTGTGAGGGTTTGTTAATTGTGACATACGGCATCTAGGTCCCAAGTAACAATTCTTGTGGACATCAAGATTGCATGTATCGCAATGGAGATGGTACTTTGAGAAATTTCTTGAACGTCCACACATGAAGCAGTTAGATTGTTGAGAACCACGTTTCCAAGAAAGGAAATGCACTGGCTGAGATGAATCCGACGACAAACGACATACGAGATCAGCACGAAAACTAAACTTAGACTTTTTTTCTTCCATTTTTGGGGTAAAAAATATGTTTTGGAGCAAATGAGAAGGTGAAAAATCTTCAGATCTGAATATTTTCTTGAGCTCTATTTGTCTTTTTTATTGTTGCATCGAGATACGAAACTTCTTGCTTTAGCTGTCGTTTGCGAGTTTTATTAGTTGTTAAAGACCAACGGACGCTACTTGTTATATAGGAGTATTTTTTTATATATCAAAGTCTTCTTTTGGTTAATAAATTGAGATTGGTTGTGTAGTGCAGCTGGCTAAAATAAATGTGGCTACGACTTACGACTCACCAGTTGTTTTTAATATACACATTGGTATCATAAAAATGAAAGTATAAGATTTGTTTGGCAATTGGCAGAGTTGACAAAAAAAAAAAAACAAGATTGTTTCTTTGTGTTAAAATCATAGGCTCTCTTTTACCAATATATATATATATCTCATTGGCTCTTAGCTGCAAGCTAAAATAAAATCCCTACTAAAAAAAGAAAGAAAAGTTGATCTTCTCAAGTCACTTAAAGAGGTTGCATTTGCACACACTATTTATACAAAGGTCGATGTATATTCACTAGGAAATGATGTCAATGGTTAAATATCTAGCAATTACTGACAATTATCTTATGAAAAGTATATGGAGATTTAAAAAATAAAGCTGGAGATAACACTTGATTATTAGCCCTTAAGGAGATCTTGTTTTCTTCTATGATTCCATTGTCTATTGGCTTTTTTCGTTTCATTATATATTCATTTACGCCAGTATTACTTACGGAGACGTACATATAAAGTTTGCACCATACTTACTTTTAATGATTTCAATTTCAAGAGACCGATTCTATATAACAATATAAAGTTCTTACATTATTAATATTTCAACATCTTGAAGTAAAACAAGAGAAGAAAACAAAAGAAATGTTTTTTGATGGACAGATATAGAGAATCAGAATCATATTCAATTATCCAAATTGGAAGAATTAACCGAAGCGGGGAGGTCTTCGTCGGTCGCATGAGGAGGTTTACAATTGCAGATGTGGTTAATACATTTCGGTTCAGGAACATATTGTTTGCACCATACTTCACAATCTCTATAGTCGTGGCAATGGTCCTCGTGATAGTTAACTCCCATTACCATTGATGATGCACCTATAATAAACTCATATATGTTAAAATCTAGACAATTCAAATATGTTTTATAGTTTCATTTTATAAAATTGTTGTTAAGAATAATTTGATATTTACTTACATGATAGAATAAGCAATGCAGCAATGAAGAAAAATGAGACCTTCATGTTTTCTTCTCGTCTTTGGATTCACAAAATGTTTACACCAAACCTTGTCTTGGGTTGTTGAGCCGATGTAAGATCATTCGCAAATTTATAGTAGCTAACTTTTGATGCTATTAATGGGAATTTAATATATTCCATTTTCTTTTGTTTTTGGTCATCTATAACTGTTGAATAATATAAATATTCAATTAATAGGTGTTGAATGTAAATTATTCTTAAAGTATTAGTTATGGTTATAGATGGTTACACATACCTATTTGTAACAATTAGTAGCTGTTGAATGTAACTATTCTTAAAATACATGTATAGATAGTATATAATCTTTTTCTACTATAGTATATCATCCCTCTATATACATGTATAGATAGTATATAATCTTTTTCTATTTATGATTCGGATAACTATAGTTTTAGTCTGCGTACACGTTGGAAATATAGTATATCATGAATAGAAATTTTAGCATGTTTTTTTTTTTATATATATATAAGTTAGGGTACATCTAGATCTATGACAACTGAAAAGCCCAGATTAATCTCCTAGAAGAGGTGTAGACCATGGATAAACCTTTTTCTCCGGGTATTTAAATAGACATGGATCTATATCTGTGTGACCAAATAGGCCAAAAGCATGTTTTCAAAACAGTAACATAACGAAAAACTGTGCTAAATTATGATTTTACAATACTACAAAATAGCTTGATCACATGTTGAAATATGATTTTTGTATTTAAAAAGAATATATATAGAAATGAAACTGTCAAATAAAATAAAAATTAAACTGCGACGTTAATGTAGTTTCTAAATTTGTAAAATGGGTAACGTTTTTAACAGTCATATTTCTCCAAATTTTTCTTGATTTTCGTAACTCAAATTCATTTAATTACCAACAACGTCAATCTCGCGTTTTTGGAAAAAATAATGAGTGATCAAGTCAAAGATGAGAAATATGATTGTGTTTTTGTGTCAATCAATCAGTATTAATTTTATAGACTATACTTTTGATACATTGCCTGCAGATATACATTGCTCTACTGAAGGAAGACGAGTTTCAATTACTACCTTCAAACTCAATTTGATGAAAAAAACAAATGATCACCTTCCCAAATGACATCTAAATCATCAATCTCAGCGTTCTCCGCATTAGTGATCTTTGTGAAGCTGCTTCCAAACTTTTCACCTACATAATTCCCAAAATTTTCGAATGTTAGAAACTTGTCTCCCAAGGAAGTGTTTGTTCTTCATTTTGAGTTTCATCAGAAGCTTACCTGCAACTCTTAGAAGCTCTTCGATGGATCTAGGTAAGAGTATCAGCTTCCCGTTCTGTTTCTCTGATAGATCTTTCTCTTGTGACAGCATGTGAATAGTAACTCTCTTATCTTTTCCTTTACACCCCTTGATTTGGATGCTTGAGCTGCAATGTTGATCTAAATCGTTACCGCAACTCCTTTCTTTGGTTTCGCTATTCGAATTTTCACCTTTTGCTCTCTCTGACTTGTGTTCTTCAGCTCTTTTCATTTCGTAACTTAGCAAGAGATCATATATGTTTTTCTTTCCTTGTTGTTCCGCAACAGCCTTAGATTTCTCTGTGTTAACCGCTTGCTCAAGTAGCTTCTTGATTATTTCAGTATCACCTTTGTGAATCGCATCCATTAGAGCCTTTTCACTACTTTCGAAATCCGAATCTTTAACATCTGATGAACCTTTGCCATCTTTTCTTGAATCCATCCACTCTTCCCATCCCATTCGTTGGAAACCTCTGTTTTCTTGATCATTATTTGTATCGTCTATTGCTATCGACTGTTGTCCTCTAAGTTTCTGCCAGATTTTGTGACCAAAACATGAGTTTGATATTGTCTTTACTGATATCAACAAGCATATATATGGTTTTAACTCGCATACCATGAAGAGATTGTTCATTATAACTCTTCCATCTTCGGCATGAGCGTGCATCGCACTCATCAACGATGTTCTGCTGATCCTTAGTATTTGAGATAACTCTGTTGTTCTTACAGTGAAAGGTTGTGGTCTATAGCATAAAACTCCAATCTCTCCAAATGTATCTCCAATTACTGCTTTCCCTTGAATCTGTTCATGTCCATCGACATAAGCTGTGAAGTCCTGCAAAATCACACCATGTTTAGATAATGGTTTAATTACATTTTACTGATTTAACAGATATAACTTGCGTACCACTTCTCCTGAGACCAGAATGTAAAGATCAGTAGGCGCTTCGTTTTGTAGAATTATGTCTTCTTTAGGTGGGAAATACTCAGCGTCTATATCTGAAACCTTGAACAGGTAAAAAGATACAAACTTGATGAAACCACTTAAGGGTTACAGTGATATTGAATTGAAATGAAAAGTTAGAGAATTTACCAATTGGAAGAGGAAGTCACGAGAAACTCCTTGAAAGAGGTAAATGTTCTGAACAATGGGGAAGAAGAGGTAGTTTGCGATGCTTGACCGGATTGCTTTTGGCAAGTTGTTCAAGGTTTCTTGTTGTTTCAATCCCTCTGTTTTGAACTTTAAGCAAAGGTGTGATAACATTTGGTCTTGTATGTCGTGTGGGAGTTGGTTTCTTGAAGCAAACTCTGAAGCAGCTCTCACTGAATCTCTCTGTTCAAGAAACTCAAGAAACAATCAGTATTTGTCTGGTTTCAACACAAGCTAGGATTTAAAAGCTAAGTGATGGAAACTTACAAAGCTTCTGGTTCGGCTAGTCCAGTGAACAACGAGGTTGGTCATGTTTCCAATGAGGTAAGCAGTCAAACCGAGGTTGAACATCATGAAGAAAATGTCAAAGAGCATTTCTCTTGGGTTCTCAGGATGCAAATCTCCATAACCAGTGGTTGTTAATGTCGTGATTGACCAGTAAAGAGAAGTCACATATCTGTTCCATAGACTTGCTTCTTTGAATTTTGGAAATGCTGATCCAATCCATGTTTTTCTTGGATTAGGATATCTATCTGCGATCAGGTAGTTGAAACATCCAGCACAATGTGCAGCGAACAAAGTGACCTTAGATCGAAAAAAGCACATGTAAGTTTTCTAATTCAATCATCATCCCCTATATTTTTGTATTTTACTTGAATATATTATCAGAGTACTCTGTACTAGTGTGGCTACAATGCCTGTCCAATGTTTTAATATACCCTACACACAAATTTAAAAGGTAATGTCCTTTTCATGTATTATTATCAAGAATCACAAACTCTGTAAAAATGGAAAAAATGAAAAATAGTAGTCATAAAATTTAATTGTTTAATACAAAATCATTTGTTAAATTCATGTATAGTAAAGTTTTTCAATCATGTTTATTTTTTTTTTAGAAAAATTTACAAATATAGCTAACATAGTTATATAATGCTATTCTCATAAAAGAATGTCTTTTTCCTTTTTTACATATAAACACTAATAAACATGCAACAACAAAATTAACTAAAAAATGTTCCTAAAATTGGATGTTGTCAACTTCTGCTATAGGCTGAACCTAGCTGTTATTGTGTCACAATCTAGATTCGAATTTAGTAGTGTGCGTGTATGAATTACAGAGGATAAAACAAAATTAAAATGAAACCTATTTTTATACAGGAATCTGCAGACTAACGGTTTGTATTAGTGCCAGTGGCGTGTCAATATCAGGAATTAAATTTAGTAGTGTGCGTGTGAGTTATAAACGATAAAATGTTTTTACTAAAATCCAATTTTTGCTCTGTTTTTGAGACTTACCGAAATAAGTTTGGTGCATCGTATCCAGAAATAGTTGAAACGTATGTCTTTCTCAAGCCTGAACAAAAGGAAAGAGTTAAGAGAGATGAGTAAACATTTTTCTTAATCAAACCCTAAGAAGAATATGGTGTTTTAGCATCGAAACGAACCTTGCGAACAGCGAGCTAACTCGTCTGAGACGCCATAACCTAAGCATGCTAAGAATTCTGAATCCAAGCTCGCTTCCATTGTAGTTAAACAGTAGGCTCAGTGGCTGAAATGGTGCTGTTGAACACACATCGAAGGCGAACCATGTAGAAAGATACCTGAAAAATGTAACATCTTGAGAATCTGATTCACTTTTGAAGAGATTTTAAAAAGGTTCAACGTCTTACCTTATGGCTATTTTCTTAGGATTGTCAACAAGAAGATAAGAGTGGCTATCAAGATATGCGACGAAGAAGGTGAGGACAATATCAATGGCGAAGAAGCCATTAACAATGTTGTCGATGATGAAAATCGCGTCTTTTTTGTAGGTGATGAAGGCAAACTGAAACGGACATATCCAAGCTGAATAAATAACTAGAACAACTAGCCACAGCTCCCATGCTCTGTTTCAACATAAACACCAAACGAAACAGAGGATTAAAAAACAGAGGATCAAAACACAGAACATTAACATTTACAAGAAAATCGTTTAGAGATGAATAAAGTTTACCGATATTTTGGATTGAAAGGAGAGATTATGTGTTTACGGAGCTTAGTAGATTGGTTGATTCTGGCTCCAAGAGATGGCAAAAGATCAGAAGAGAGGAAACTACTCTGTTTTACGGTGTCGATATTGTATTCCTCAACGCAGAATCTTTCAAAGAAATTTCTGGTACAAGAGATGGACATATTGTTTTTTGTTTTCTTGGTTCTTGATAAGAATCTGTTACGTGAAAAAGGGTCGTTTGCAAGTTTAATGCTTTCTTCTGAGCGAGGTAGTTATAAAATAGTGAAGAAGCTTGTGATGAATGACACGAGAAAGTTTTCTGTTGGGACCTTTTATGCCAACTTGCTCTGACCCAATTGTTTCTTTCTGACCCTTTTGGCAGGGAACGTTTTAGTGCGCCATTAACGCTGCAAACCCCAAAAATGGTTTGGTTTCAAGTGCAAGAAACAGCAATGGTGAGCAAGAAGCGGGAAACACGGAACAGAGTAGGTGTGTGAAAAAAATCAAGAATCTTTTAAGAGATGAGGCAGAATTTAAGTGGAAAACATTGAGCTTTGGTGGAAGAAATGCTCATGGTTTCTTTCTTTTGAGAGGAAACAGATTCAAAATCCAACATAAAGAAAGAAGAGGAAGAAGAAGAAGAGTAGACGCAATTTGGTTTTTGGAGTTTTTTTTTTTATCTACTTGATGAGATTTATGACTATGGTGTGAAACCCACTTTCTCAGCATTTGAAGGTGGGAGTGATATATAGACATGTATACACACACATAGAAAGACAGTACGTTTTGGTGTTTGGTGTGTGTTAATGGAAGGACAAAAACGGGCACGAAAAATTATATGGTGTGTTCATTTCAAGAATCCAGAAATGGACCAAGCAAAAAATAAAGAAAGAAAATGGCATTTTGACAGAATATTTAAGGGGCCAGAGTATAAAATTTTTTGTTTCAGAAAAAAAACATCATTATTTTTAAAGTATATCTTTGCCTTTTTTTCTCGTCCTCAAAATCAATTATTGGTTTTACGGCAATGACTTGAGAAATTACTAAACCTATCGCTTAACCTTACCAATCAATTCAAAATCAATCTAAGATACGTGTTCCTCATTATTTTTTATCCTCATTATTTTTATTGGAATGTTCACATTGATAATTTAGTTGAATTGTAGACTATATATAGTATAATATAAAGCAATCTTCTACGTTTTTTTGGACAAGATGTGAGTTATATCTATTACCATGATATTAGAACTCAAAGTTTTTAACTATTTTGATTATGGTCCATATTCGTAATTTCACGCTTCAGATTCAGAATTATAAACATGAGAAATATGTATTGGAATGTCTCACATCGATAGTTTGGTTGAATTATAGATAATATAGTGTCAAGTAATCATCCACTTTTAAGCTAATTTTTAGGTGTGAATTAAATTTATTACTAATAATTGTTTTTTTCCTTGTTTAGTTAATGTTTAAATTAAAAATATATGTAGTGTTAAATCTATTTTTCTAGAATATAATGTTTCTTTCTAAAGTATTTTATATAAATAATAGTATATTGTTATTATTGTTATTGTTGTTATTATTATAAATAAAAATTAATTGGTCGACTGATTAACAAAAAGCTGTTGACTTTCCAATGACCAACTTTGACTAAAATCGAATCATTTGGATGATGGTTTTGACCGCCAGTTGTTAGAACAGACGTTTACGGTGTTCATACAAAAACATCTTTAAAAACTTAAAAGAAGCCACATGGACCTATAGGAAATGTCCACGCGGTGAAGCCGAAATTAGCTACTGTAGTTTACCAAAAGCGAAAACCTATTATTTTGACTTAATTAGGATTTGAGGTGAAGACAAGCAGAAACAAGCACATTGTGGATTTTTCCATGTGTGTCTCGTGGAGTAATGACACTTGATTACTCGTGTTCCTCACAATCCCGTCGGTACAGTGGGGCCCCCTCTCCTTCATGAATTTATTTTAGGTTAAAATGTTCTTTACAAAAAAAAAAAAATTACATCGTTGATCAAGAACTCCAACAAATTCGATAAACAGACAAATTATTTGCCCATCATGTAAAAGAATTACATTGGCAAAAAGAATCTAGCTAAAAATAATAATTATCTTCTTGGGTGTGAAGTATTTTTTTCTTTTCTCGAATGTGCTAGTGTTTGTTTATCCTCGCACATTCTTCACACCAATTAAGAAATTTTGTTTTTGTAATGTTCTAATATGTATATTACATTACTGATTAAACTTTAAGAATTTAAAATGAACTAACTTAACAAAAATGTAAATTTACTTTTAAACTCCAAAATGATATTTATCGAACGGAGCTATTGTTAAAATTCTACGAATGATCAATTTTATAGTATTCAAAACGGCATGAAGAAGAGAGACAGATTCGACATTGAAGACAAATTAAAGACTCTGTTTCTACAAAAGGAACGAGAATGAAAAAAAAAACTTTGAAATATCTGTCAGTAAAGTTACAAAATTCCCTTAAGAAAATATCATGGTTTATAAAGATATATAAAAACACATTCGTACGTACACGAATATATTTTTTTTTTGGTAGTTCTAATTATTTGACTAAACTTTTATTTTCGTTCGCTAGTATAGAATGCTAAGTATAAATTCTCGAAACCTTTCCACCAAATTTATTAAATCGTTCCAAACCTTTTTTGTTTCTGCGTCGATTTGAGCCCGTTCGAATGTATCTTTCATGATTCCTTGTTGATTTTTTTGCTTGGTGCCTTTTTTCTGTGGTGCTCATTTGAATTAACATTAATCCTAGCTAAGCTACTATATTAGACACTAAGAACTTGAGTTATTTCGATTATAAAAAAACATGACTAGAAGTTTTCCAATTTTCTCGTCATTAGTTTTACAAAAGCTTTCTTTATTGTATTAGTTTTTTCGATCTTACTTACTTATAGATGAAGAATTGTCCTAAGGAAAATGTTGGTCCCTCTAGGTTTGATTTAAGAACGGTTTGGAGATGTAACTTCTACTTTTTTTTACCAAAGGTTCGAGATATAACTTTGTTGCACCAAGATAATACATCGAACTCTCTGACAATATTATATATAAAGTGATATGATCAATATTGTTTTTGGAAATGTTAACGTTAATAGTACTAATTAACATATTGGACGAATGCTAACACATACACATACATACTTATATTGTGCATGTAGCTAATCTTTTTTTTTTTTAACTGCTAAAAGTTTCTAGAAACATTACAAAACTTCATTATTATTTACATTAAACCATAATCAAGGATCGGTGAACTCAAACAAATTATTGTACATTCAAGTATATAATCATGTAACTATGTATTAAAATGATGACCTTAAATGAGAGAAATATACAAACATATTACTGTGCAGTTTACCATCTCTAAGAGATATATACCAAAAAAATAATATAAATTTTTGGATTGTAACAGACGAAATCAAATGATATTATAGTATCTTAAACGGTAGAGTATTAAACCCTAATCAGATACTGGTGAATTTAAATTGATTAGTGTACAACATACCATCCAAATAGTACTAAAAACTCTAAACCCTAATTTTATAATGGATATATCCAAACATTAATGCTCTAACAACAAATAGCATAATAAAGTCAATGGTTTTCAGAAACTTATAAGTTTCTAAATGAGATTGACGATTTAATTAAACCACTAGGTGGTTGGCCCGCACATATGTGCAGGTATAATTTTTTTGATATATATAGTTAATTATAATATTTATGAATATATTAGTTTTTTAAAATATTGATATGTTTGTATATATATATATTATTTTAATATTTCACAAATCTCTTTCTGAAACCAATATATTTTAAAACTTTTTATTTTTATAATACTTATAAGAATATATAATCACAAATAAAAAGTTATATTAAATAATAATTAAATTCTTATAATATTTTTTGAATATTTCTATAATAAGCTTTATTTTTCTTTACACAATCTACAATATGTTTTTTTGCGTCTTACATAATATGAATTTGCAGATACATATATAATATATTTTGAGTAAATATTTTTTCTTGATTTTTTGCAAATTAAAATGAAAGAGTTTTTACCATTTTTACTTATTCATAAGAACGGATAGATGGTTGGCACGCATGTGCGGGCATACCAACCATTTCATTACACTAAGAATAGATAAAGATTTTTTAAAAAATATTAATTGTATAATAATTAAAATAAAAATTAGACTGTAATCAAGCTTAACAAAATATATGCATGAAAAAGTTCATATGTGGCTTCAACTAATACACAATTAATATTTATATATGTACGCATATTTATAAAAAAGTCAAATTATTTAATAATTTGTTTATTTAAAACTTGTTTAGAAGTTATTATTATATTTTATAAATTAATAACTTTCTAAAAATAAAAATATATCATACTTCAAATATTATTAATATATAGAATTTTTACTATTCTATTGGATAATTTAGTATTATTTTTTCGTTTTTATATGAAATTATAACATATATATATATATATATATTGTTGAAAAAAATTTGTAATTATATTTTATGAAATTATGAATATATGTAAAAATTTGAAATAATAATAATTATTATTTTCTGTTAAGTTAAATTTGTTAATTTTTAAGTTATAAATATAATTTAGTGTATTTATAATTTCATAATTTCTATAATTTTAATTCAACCAATCAAAATATTTCATTTATTTAAGAAAGTTTGACATGTCACATTTACATGTCATCAATTAAAAGCACTAATTTTGACTGTAGTATTGACAAATCAGCTATTTTTAATAATGTTACTTCTTAAATAATATGTAATGGATTGATCGTTTTAACTTCCAACTTATGAGTTGGGTTTTTACAGTGAGCATCTCGTTAAATTTTCATCCAATAGTTAAATAGATAAATACAGAAAATAAAATATCATTAAAATTTGCAACTGTATACATACGGATATTTGGGGATAAGAAAAAGACCGGAAGATAGTCTCGAGCGGTATTTGAGAAAAAAACATGTTATTGCATGCTCCAGTCCGGTCCATAATCTCCTAAACGGTTTTATTAAAGACCGGAAAATCGTTAACAGATAGTTTGCCACTTGCTGTCTTCCTAGTGCAAGTGGGGTCGTTAATGTTAACAGCTTAAATTTAAGTTGTCACATGCTAAGAATAGAGATGTAGGGTCCAAATAATTGTTAGTTGTTTTTCAAAGATTTTGTTGTGGGTCCACACGTCTTCGCAAACCGATTTGAAACAAAATTGGAGCTGAGTTTCTTCAAGATCATCAAACTCCACTAGTTCAATATTTGAGGTCTTAAGTTAAGGAAATCTGGACCAACATTGGTCCAGTTGGTATAGAATTAGTGAGTTAGATCATATGGTCATACTTTTTAATTTTTTAATTCGAATGGATCTGCAGAACAATATGGTTATATTAGGTTTAGACTAAAATAAAACATCAGGGTCTGTTTTGGATTGTTTTTTTAATATATAAAAAACGACCATGTCAGTTGAACCATATTGATCTCCGGATGATATTAAGAGTGATGAATACATTAAAGACTTAAACCATTAGGTTCTGTTTTCGAATTGTCTTTTTAGCAACGACCAGACTGAACCATGCTGGTCTATTCCACTACAAAATAATAACATTTGTTATCTAGAAAATCTGATTTTTTTTTCTTCTTTGGATTTATTAGTACCCCACATATATTGCAAATTAATAACGGATCCTACCAATACTAGATAACAGATAAGGGACATTTTCCAGTAAA